GGGGGGGGGGGGGGAGTCCTTCCACCCTGAAACCTCTTTCGCCGCCCCCTCCCATCTTGGAACCATGCAAAAACCAGGAATAGAGTTGTAACACTGCTACTTAGAGTTGCTTCAGTTTTATTATTCATTTTTTGCATCTATGCAATGCAGAAAACGCATATTGACGAGAGGCTGCCTGTGTGTATGTGTGTGTTGTGGGTGTGTGCATGTGTGTATGTGTGTGTTGTGGGTGTGTGCATGTGTGTGTGTGTGTGTGTGTGTGTGTGTGAGTGAATCTGTGCGGTCTGTACCGATTTTTCATCTCGAGACCTACAAAAGCTACAGGGCTGAAACTTTGAGAACTTAATTTCCATGCAAGTACGGGCTCCCATCCTTCAAAATGGGGACTCTTACCCGCGTGATGCTCACGCACGGACCTTAAAATCGCTAATTCGGGAACCTGAAAATCTAGAAGATTGCAATTTTAAGGAAATGTTCTTCGTCCATGCAGGTGTTAATGAGCCCAGACCCAAACACCGGGTATGCGTGGTAACTACGCAAGGATCCGCGAAAATCCTTCACGGGTACGTTGCTAACTCGGGAACCTGAAAAGCTAGAAGACTGCAATTTTAAGGGAGTGTTTTTTGACAGTCCTGGCGGCCAGCATTAATTCGTTTAGCTAGAAGCATCTGCAGGAAAAACCGATGCCGTTAGCATCAAAAACCTGCGGCGAACCATGCGAAAAACGCATTTTCACATCGACAGTCGGTGCGCTGGTCATTTATTTATGAACAGATCCGGGCTTTTGCAGCATTGGTGTCTGAAATATGTATAGGTAGTCACGGTTTTTACACCCAAAGCTGGCTAAAAGACAAGATAAATGAATGTTTATCGTAACATACAACGTTTACAACAAATACATATAATACATGAAGTATTTTCGGAAAAAATGATTCTATTATGATATTTACACAGTTATTTCAGCAATGTATAAACATCAAGATGACGGCAGATACTAAATGGTATTGTGAAATGGTAAAATACAGAAACTGGAGCTAAGCGTCGTGTGTAAGAAGATATTTTACGATGTAGTCTGTATTGCAAGGCATTTTACGATGCAGTCTGTCTGTGTTTCATCCCTTAACTGTAAACATACAGACCGAACTATGAAGCTCAGGATCGGAGTGCCTGGTATAGCTAGGAAACATTACTAACATGGAATATACAAATCGAACAGTTCAACCATCTTGGTACTCTTAACAGCACCTAAAATTCAAAATTGACTAAACGAGCGACTGCGCTGGTAAGCAGCAATGAAAAAAAAAAAAAAAAAAAACAGAAGCGGGACAAACTACACTAGCTTCTAAATACATGTAAATGAGATCACAAAACTTTTGCTTAAAGCATTCAGAAAACACATGCAAACAAAAGTAATAAAATGCGCTATAAAGAGCGAAGTTTGGGCTGGAACAGCCAGAGAAAAAACCCATAAAAAGAGAAAACAAGGAAAAAAGCAAAGCTAAGGCGATTTTGAAAGCAACGAATACCAAACATATTTGAAACATTTTGAAACAAAAATATAGATGTACTCGTTTTGCCGATGATTAAACAACCGCCTTGTAAGTAATGGCTTTTAGATGTCCTTACCTGGAATACCTCGATAAGCTTTAATTCGCTGCCCAGTTTATCGACGACTAATGATTTTGCGAAATTACCACTTTTTGTGATATATGGACAAATAAAAATTCAACTTAACAAAAAATTTGTTACAAAAAATGAGCAAATTAAAACCGACACAACAAGTTTATGTCTCGAAGTCTGACACAAACAGTTCGCGCACTGAATACTTTTCAAAAGTTCGACGCTCCTTGAAACGGGCAAGATCCTTTCGGGTGATGATGCCACGCAGCTAAAAAATTTTCAATATAATTCTGGACGAAAAACACAGAAATAATGTAAGTCAGTTTACAATACTAAAATTATGCAGTTTTAGGATACATATATATATATATGCATGTATGTATGTATTTGTGTATGCACGTATGTATATATTTATGTATATATGTATATATATGTATATATATATATATGTATGTGTGTATGTATGTATGTATGTATGTATGTATGTGTGTATGTATATATGTATGTATGTGTATATGCATGTATATGTGTATGTATGTATGTGTGTATATGTGTATGTGTGTATGTATGTATGTGTGTATGTATGTATGTGTGTATGTGTGTATGTATGTATGTGTGTATGTATGTATGTATGTATGTATGTATGTATGTATGTATGTCTGTGCGCATGTATGCATGCATGCATAAAAATCCTAAAACTGCATAATTTATGTTGCAAATTGACTTGCCATATGAATCAATTTTAGAATATATATATCCTAAAACTGCATAATTTGGTTTTTACTTTACAAATCGTTTTGATTTCCTCCTATCCATATTCATATCATTATTTCTACATGTGTATTTTTTCAATTTTTATTTACCTATATCTCGAATGTTTTCGGGTAGAAATTTTTAAACAAAAAAGCCCAATGTGAAAATGTGTCTTCCTCTCCCCAATTACTATTTTTTTTTAGGCAAAAAGCCCAATTTCTCCCAAAAAATCATAAAAACAGAACCTTATTTTCGTCATCAACAACTATCACGTATCGTAGGCCTAATCCACGAAACAGATGAAATATTGATGGCAGTGATGCATCCAGTGGAACACGATGTGGACTTCTGTGCATATACGGAACTAGATCAAGCCAACAATTCGCATCCCTTGCTGAGATTTGTAAGTTAGCCAAAGATAAATCGTATCTGAAAGAGAACTGTATTCCGATGCAAGTCTTTTTTTCTAAATCAGCGAAAAATCAAT